TTTCCCTCAGCCTTTCCAGTTCCTGACTACCTCATACCATCCCTGCCTATTAAATAAAATATTTATTATTGTTCACTGTTACACAGTCTCCAGTGCCATTTGAAGGGATCTAAAAAGAGTGCTTCTTTTTTTTCTCCTGACAAGTTCCTGGGCTGGGCAAAAGCCAAATGAGATTCTGTCACAGGGTTGGGCATTCAGATTTATAAAGCTGCAAATATTATCACGCTACTCAGTACCTGAAGGGAACGAAGAGTTTTGGCGGGAAAAATCTGCCTCAGAGTGGGGAGAGTAACACATGTGTGTGTGTGTGTGTCCATCATACTGTCATAGGGTTGCCAGCCTCCAGGTGGGGCCTGGAGAGCTCCCGCTTTTACAACTGATCTCCAGCCGAAAGCGATCCGCTCCCCTGGAGAAAATGGCTGCTTTGAAGGGTGGACTCTATATGGCACTGTACCATGCTGAGGCCCCTCCCCTCCCCAAACACCACCCTCTCCCCGTCCCACCCCCAAAGTCTCCAGGTATTTTCCAGAGCTGGCAACCAGTGTTCCCTCTAAGCTGAGTTAGTGTGAGCTAGCTCACAGTTTTTTAGCCTCCGGCTCACACATTTTCGTCCCAGCTCAGGAAGGACGGCTCCGGAGAAAACTAATTCATTCAGTAGCCAAATCGCTCGCTCACAGCCTGCATGCCAGCAGCTCACAAAGTAGAATTTTTTGCTCACAAGACTCCGCAGCATAGAGGGAACATTGCTTGCGAGCCACCTATCATTTGTTAGGGTTAAATGCTATGAAATGCCAATAGAAACAAGAGGAATCCACAGACACTCCTCAGAGATTTGACACAGGGAGGACATTCCCCGAGTTGGGTTCGACCAACAGTGACACTTTCCTTCCCCTCAAGGCGGTTTGCCCTGGCAGAAAGAGCTCTTCTTGCCTCTGCTGGCATCTTATGCCAAAAGAAGGTGCCACCGTTTGTGGAACAGATCTGTGGGATCCAACCCATTCAGAGGGGTAGTGTGGGCAAGGGCATGAAATTTAGGATCAGATGCCCAGTAAAACCAAACTTCAATTTTTTTTCCTGAGTTTAAACTGTATTCCCCATGGGCTCTCCCTGCCACTCTTAGCAGCTGACTGGGGCCTAGGACCAGTGTTCCCTCTACGCTGAGTTAGTGTGAGCTAGCTCACAGTTTTTTAGCCTCCGTCTCACACACTTTTGTCTTAGCTCAGGAAGGGATGGCTCCAGAGCAAACTGATTTAGGCAGTAGCCGAATCGCTGGCTCACAACTTTCATGCCAGCAGCTCACAAAGTAGAATTTTTGCTCACAAGACCCCACAGCTTAGAGGGAGCATTGCCTAGGACTATAAATGGGGCTGAAGTATACTATTTAAGGTGCTTCTTCCCGGAGGACGTGGTTGCCGTGGCAGCTGTGGAGAAGAGAAGGAATTGGGGTCTTGCCCAAAAGTGCCCACTGTGTTTGTAATGCCCCTGTAAAGATCTATGGTGTGGCCTTCATTTGGAATACTGCGTACAGTTCTGGTCACCGCACCTCAAAAAGGACATTGCAGAGCTGGGAATAGTACAGAGGAGGGCAACCAAGATGATTAGGGGGGTTGGAGCACCTTCCCTTTCAGGAAAGGCTGAAGAGTCTGGGACTTCCCAATTTAGAAAAGAGACGACTAAGCTCCTACTAAGGTGGGGGGGGGAGACATGATAGAGGTTTATAAAATTAGGTGCAAGGTGGAAAGAGCGGACAAGAGAAATGTTTCTTCCACACCCAAAAGACTAGACCTCAAGGGCATCTGATGAAGCTGATGGGAAGTAGGTTCAGGACGGACAAAAGGAAATACTACTTTCCACAGAGAAGTGATTAGAATGCGGAATTCGCTGCCAGAGGAGGTAGTGATGGCCACAGGAATAAACAGCTTTAAAAGGGGATTAGATAGATTCATGGGAGAGAGGTCAATCAATGGCTACTAGCCTCTACATTCTCCTCTACAGTCATGTGCCTCTACATTCATGGTGACTGAGGGGAACCTCCACATTCAGAGGCACTAAGCCTCTGGATCGCAAAACCAGGAAGTTACATCAGGGAAGGCCTCAGCCTCTATGCCCTGTTGTTGGCCCTCGGAGGACATTGTTGGCCCCTGTGTGAGACAGGATGCTGGACTAGATGGACCCTCCCTGGTCTGATCCAGCAGGGCTCTTCTGATGTTCTTATCAGGGGAAGGCCTCGGCCTCCATGCCCTGTTGTTCGCCATCCAGAGGGACTGGCTGGCTATTGTGTGAGACTAGATGCCGCAGTAGATGGACCTTTGTTCTGATCCAGCAAGGCTCGGCCTCAGCCTCTATACCCTGTTTCTGGCTCTCCAGAGGAACTGACTGGCCAGTGTGTGAGAAGGGATGCTGGACTACATTGACTATTGGACTGACCCAGCAGGGCTCTTTGCCCATTGTGTACATACCAGCAAAATCGGGACAGCTGTCTACTTTTTGTTTTAAAAAGGGAGTACTGCATAGATCAATCTGTATCTGTATGTTATCTTATTAATTAAGGAAAAACATCAACTTTTTTCAGTGCTATCTGTTAAGAGGATTTGGGAGCTGGGAAGTATCCTAGTGTCAGCACGGTTGCTAGCCAATCAGTACTGCCCTCAGCCACCTTTTGTTGCTCTGTCTGTGTGTGTGTTTTTAACACGAGCTTATAGAAGAATAGGTACATCTGAAATGAATGCAACAAGCAGTCGCTTTCGAATTGACCCCATCTTTCTGTATTTATGTCCTCTGTCGATGGTCTCACTCTGCCAGTCATCTCCAGTGGAGCTTATGGCTCATGGACTCCGTTTCCGTCGTTCCTATGTTCACAATGTAATGCCCTTGAGACAGAACAGACGGGTTAGAACAGATCCAGCAGGGCTCTTCTTATGTTCTTCTCAGGGGAAGGCCTCGGCCTCCATGCCCTGTTGTTCGCCATCCAGAGGGACTGGTTGGCTATTGTGTGAGACTAGATGCCGCAGTAGATGGACCTTTGTTCTGATCCAGCAAGGCTCTTCTTATGTAGGCCTGGCCTCTATACCCTGTTGTTGGCTCTCCAGAGGAACTGACTGGCCAATGTGTGAGAAGAGATGCTGGACTACATTGACTATTGGACGGACCCAGCAGGGCTCTTCCCATGTTCTTATGAATGCCTCGGCCTCTCTGCCCTGTTGTTGGCCCTCCAGAGGAATTGGTTGGCCCCTGTGTGAGACAAGATGTTGGACTAGATGGACCACTGGTCTGGCCCAGCAGGGCTCTTCTGATATTCTTATCAGGGGAAGGCCTCGGCCTCTCTGCCCTGTTGTTGGCCCTCCAGAGGAACTGGCTGGCCCCTGTGTGAGACGGGAGGCTGGACTAGAGGGACTCTCCCTGGTCTGACCTAGCAGGGCTCTTCTGAGGTTCTTCTCAGGGGAAGGCCTCGGCCTCTCTGCCCTGTTGTTGAACTGGTTGGCCCCTGTGTGAGAGAGGATGCTGGACTAGATTGACTACTGGACTGACCTAGCAGGGCTCTTCTGATGTTATTTTGTCTGCCATTTCCCCTCCCCTCCCCCCCCCCCCGCAGGGCATAGCAGGCACTGACGTGGCGAAGGAAGCCTCGGACATCATCCTGACCGATGACAACTTCTCCAGCATCGTCAAGGCAGTGATGTGGGGCCGCAATGTGTACGACAGCATCTCCAAATTCCTGCAATTCCAGCTCACGGTCAATGTGGTGGCCGTCATCGTGGCCTTCACTGGCGCCTGCATCACACAGGTAGGGGGGCCGTGTTGCCGCGTGCCACACCAGAACAGGAAATGAAAGCTCCTGTGCCACCTGGAAATTAGAAAATCACACGGGGCTTTCATGGGAAGCGTAGGATGCGTCTCAAGGCCCGGGACACGTGGACATGTGGAAGGAAAGATAGATACAGGGGTCATTTTGTGCAGGAGCGCACAGGAGCGGAGCTCCGGCAGTAAAGAGCCCAGGGGGGCGGGCACATGCAACAAGCCCCACCCCCTGCTCCCAGCAGCTCTCGGCCAGAGCAAGAAGCAGTCAGGTAAGTTGCAGAGCCCCCCCCCCAACCCCCCCACCCAAAAAAAACCCAGGGCACAAGACCAAGTCTTATTCAGGTACAAGCTCTCCCTCCTCTGCAAGGACAGATCTGTACGTCCCCCCCTCCCTTGCAATAGCTAGCAATCCAAAACAGTCCAGTGGAGCCTGAGTGGTGGGTGTTGCCTTCTGGCACACTTCCGGTGATGTCAGGGTGTGTGGCCTATGCAAATATGCTTATGAGTTAGCTAATGGGCTCCTGCACCTCTTTTTCTACGAAACGACCCCGGGATAGATATATTACAGGAGAATGAGTGCTTGGGTGGCAGAGAGACTAAATGGGAAAACATAGGTTAGGGTTACCAACTCCACGCTGAGAAATTTCCGGATATATGAAGGGTGGAGCATGGGGTGGTTTTCTTGTTCCAGACACATAGCAAGGGTCAGGATCTGGTCTCTCTTCTTGACTTCAGTGCATAGGCAAGCCTCCCCCCCCTTTCCCTTCACGAAGAAAGAATTAGGGCGTAGAGGCCAGGGTTTTGTCAACCGGCATCGTGTCCAAACTGCGTGGCAAACTGCCTAACAAAAGGAGTCCTAGGAATCTTATTATCAGGGCTGGTTCAAGGTATTTTGTTGCCCCCAGACGAGGTGGTTGCCAGCTCCGGGTTGGGAAATCCCTGGAGATTTGGAGTAGAGCCTGGAGAGGGCAAAATTTGCAGAGGGGGAGGGTCTTCAGTAGGGCATAATGCCATAGGGTCCACCCTCCAAAGCAGGGCATTTTTTGTAGAAAAAGCCCAGCAGGAACTCATTAGCATATTAGGCCACACCCATGACAGCACAGCTCATTAGCATATTAGGCCACACCCCATGTGTTACCAGAAGTGTGGTCATCCAGCCACACCCACCTTTTGCTTCTTATTCTGTTTAACTTGTTTGTTGTCAAAACCCAGGGCTTTTTTTGGAGCAGGTACTCCTTTGCCACACATGCCTACTGTAGCCAATCCTAATGGGTTTCTGCTGTTGGGTGTGGCCTATTATGCTAATGAGTTCCTGCTGGGTGTGGCCAACTTGGGAGCCAGCCGGAACTCCATTCCTGTGCGTTCCTGCCCCAAAATAGCCCTGCTCCAAAGCATCTGTTTTCTCTAAGGGAACTGATCTCTGTCATCTGGAGAGCAGTTGTAGTTCTGGGAGATCTCCAGTCCTCGCCTGGTAGGTGGCAAGCATTCCTTAGGTGGACAGATAAATGTTGAATCCAGCCACCTTTATTTTATGCGTCGTCTCTGGGAGATTGTGAAAAAAGGGAAAAATTATTCCATCCAAGCTCTTCTCAAAAGGACGTGCCTCAGAGCCAGTGAGGGAGCAGGTGGTGGAAAGGGTTTCCCAGGTGATTTTGAATTAGGAAATGTTAGCAGAACGGTCTGGAATTTCTTCCCAGGGCTCCAAATTGACTGGGGTCCGGTTTGGCTTGTGTAGTTGCCTTCAGTTATTAAAAAAAGGTACACGGGCTTAATTTGGTGTAGAGCCAGTTTGGTGTAGTGGTTAAGTGCGCAGACTCTTAATCTGGGAGAACCAGGTTTAGCGTTGCCAGCCTCCAGGTGGGGCCTGGGGATCCCCTGCTTTTCCAACTGGTCCCCAGCTGACAGAGATCAGCTCCCCTGGAGAAAATGGCTGCTTTGAAGGGTGGGCTCTGCGGCCTTGTACCATGCTGAGGCCCCTCCCCTCCCCAAACCCTGCCCTCTCCCGGATCCACTCCCAAAGTCTCCAGGTATTTTCCAACCCAGACCTGGCAACCCTAACCAGGTTTAATTCCCCACTTCTCCACATGCAGCTGCTGGATGACCTTGGGTCAGTCACAAGTTCTCTCAGATTTAGTTTTCTCAGAGCTGTTCTCTCAGGAGCAGTCCTCAAAAGAGCTCTCTCAGCCCCACCTGCCTCCCAGGGTGTCTGTTTTGGGGAGGGGAAGGGAAAGGAGTTTGTAAGCCGTTCTGAGACTCCGAGTGAAGGGCGGGGTATAAATTTCATCTCTTCTTCTCTTCTATACCTAGATTTTAATATCTTGAGGTCTCATTAATATTTTCCTTCTGTAAGGGTCTGACTTTCTGACGTTTTGTTTGTGTTAATCTGACAGAAAACAACAAAATTATTTACAAAAATTAAATGTCAGGTTATTTTTAAAGTGTATTTAAATACACACATGCTTTCTGGCATTATATCCACTCATTACACAACCCATTCATTGCACGAAGCGATACATCTTTGGAAACTGGGTGGAGGAAATAAATCCTCAGGGCACAAATGGAAATACTACTTTACACAGAGAGTGATTACAATGTGTGGAATTCGCTGCCGCAGGATGTAGCAACGGCCACAGGAATAGATAGCTTTCAAAGAGGATTAGATAGATTTCTGGAGGATAAGTCTATCAATGGCTATTAGCCATGGTGGCTGAGGGGAACGTCCACATTCAGAGGCACAAAGACTCTGAATCTCAGATCCAGGAGGCAACATCAGGGTAAGGCCTTGGTCTCTCTGCCCTGTTGTTGGCCCTCCAGAAGAACTGGTTGGCCACTGCATGAGATAGTAGGCTGGACTAAACGGACCCTCACTGGTCTGACCCAGCAGTGCTCTTCTGGTGTTCTCTTATGAAAGGAGTCATCGACTAGAAGTGGAGGCCCATTAATTAGTCTGAGGGCCAAGCTAGACGTTATGGCAGCCATAGGTCCAACTTGTGGCCGCCAATGCCATTTTAGGAGAGAATGTGACCATTTAAAAATTGCAGCGAGGGCTTGGGCCCTGGCAGTAATTTTTTCAAGGACTAAATTCTCCTCTAAAATAGTGTGGGCAGCCATATAGCTACTGTCTAGTTTGACTCCCAGGTGACAGAGAGAAAGAGAACATCTCCTCTGTCATTTTGGAGTAGGGACGTTTCAGAGACAGTTGGAAAAAACGCAGCACTTTTAAAACCAGACTTCACAGCCCTTTTAGGTGCAAAGAATGAAGAAAGATTCCCCGCGCGCCTCAGTTTTCATCAGGCCTTTAGTGGGGTCAGCCTTTCTTCTTTTTTTGTCCTGTCCCAATTCCATTTTCAGGAGTGTGTTAGAGATCTATCCCTTGGGGTTGCCAAGTGGCCTGCGAAAAACCGTCCATCCCCTTTATACCATGAAAAACTTCCACTGTCCATTTCCGCACCTTCAGCCTCTATTAAAGGGACAGGGGATTTTTCTCCAGGCCGGCTGGCAACCATATCTAGCCCTTCCGTCAGTTTTCCTCATGCTTTAGTTATGCACCCTTGTTCTCCGTAGAGCCGTGTTGTGTATTTTAACTTTGGTTAAAACTGTTTTAACAAAAGTTATCTTGGTTTTAATATGCGATTCTTTTTAAGGGCGTGTGTTTTCCTTTGTTTGCCGCTTTGGTGGCCCTTGTAGGGGCAGAAAAAGTGAGATATAAATGCTGAAAAATAAATAAATAAATGAGGTGGGTGATGAGGCCCCACGGGAGGCTATTCATAGCCCATCTGTCCTGGGTAGGGTTGCCAGGTCTGGGTTGGGAAATACCTGGAGACTTTGGGGGTGGATCCGGGAGAGGGAGGGGTTTGGGGAGGGGAGGGGCCTCAGCATGGTACAAGGCCATAGAGAGTCCACCCTTCAAAGCAGCCATTTTCTCCAGGGGAGCTGATCTCTGTCAGCTGGAGATCAGGTACAAAAGCTGGGGATCTCCAGGCCCCAGACCCCACCTGGAGGCTGGCAACCGCATTCCCGGGCCCAAGAGATAGGTTGTGTGTACAAGTTAAGGTTGCCATCCTCCAGGGAAAGCCTGGAGATCTCCCAGAATTACAACGGTTCTCTAGACAACCACAATCGGTTCCCTTGGAGAAAACGGCTGTTTTGGAGGCTGGGCTGTACGGCATTATGCCTTAGTCACGTCCCTCCCCTCCTCAAATTCTGCCCTCTCCAGGCTCCACTTCCACATCTCCAGGAATTTCCCAATCTTGTTTGGGGCAACAAAATACCTTGAACTAGCCCTGATATACATCAAGGTGGGTCGCCGTGTTAGTCTGTCTGTAGCCGTAGAAAAGAGCAAGCGTCCAGGAGCACCTGAAAGACTAACAAAATCGGTGGCAGGGGAGGAGCTTTCGTGAGTCACGGCTCACTTCTTCAGATACCAAAGAGCAAAAGTCCAGTGGCACCTTAAAGACTAACAAAATCTGTGGCGGGGGAGGAGCTTTTGTGAGTCACGGCTCACTTCTTCAGATACCAAAGAGCAAGCGTCCAGGAGCACCTGAAAGACTAACAAAATCTGTGGCAGGGGAGGAGCTTTCGTGAGTCATGGCTCACTTCTTCAGATACCAAAGAGCAAGCGTCCAGGAGCACCTGAAAGACTAACAAAATCTGTGGCAGGGGAGGATCTTTCATGAGTTCTCACTCATGAGCTTTTGTGAGTCACGGCTCACTTCTTCAGATACCAAAGAGCAAGCGTCCAGGAGCACCTGAAAGACTAACAAAATCTGTGGCAGGGGAGGAGCTTTTGTGAGTCACTGGCTCACGTCTTCAATGACTCACGGAAGCTCACACCCTGCCACAAACTTGCGTTGGTCTTTAAGCTGCTCCTGGACTCTTGCTCTTTTCCATGGTCCTGATAATAAGATTCCTAGGGCTCCTTTTGCTAGACTGTTTGCCCCACAGTTTAGACAACAGGCCAGTCGTTAAAACCTTGGCCTCTAAGCC